GTAGGTGTGAATGTGAGTGTGCTTGGTTGTCTGTCTCTAAGTGTAGCCCTGTGATAGACTGGTTACCTGTCCAGGTGAACCTGCCTTCACCCTACATCAGCTGGGATAGACTCCAGCCCCCCATGAACCTAGTGAGGATTAAGCGGTGTATAGATGATGGATGGATTAATGTTTCCAGTCAGCATCTGGTACTAAATGTACACTTAGACATACACATTATTTGCAGAACTGCAAAAGCAACAAACATATTGGCACCTGTCCACAGAGGTGTTGTTGGATGAGGAGTCACACTGGTTCCCATCACCGGTGCCATCGATAAGCATGTCTGGACAGTGTCCTGACAGATGATGATAAGTGCTCTTCAACAAGAAACTTATATAGACTGAAACATCCGACAATCTACAAACACTGTGGCACAGACCCCATCGCCATTATTTGTGAGGCTGTTGTGAGAAAACAAGTAAATGTTGCTCCATGGTGAAGTCTACAACATAAATGTTACACATCAGCTGGTGGCTACCAGCAGAGCAAAAATGACTCCACTGATGTTACACCGACTCTAAAGCAAATCAGTATGTACAAGAAAATTATATACTACAATTGTTATACGAACATCTATGAATTTTCAATTTACTGTACATGTCTTCACAGGTGTCTCCTCATAACCTTTTCAGATGCACCACCTTTCTCTTTGCTAAGATACTTCCCTCCTTTAAGCTACTGCCTGTCCGGTTAAGCATTAAAAAGACATCAGTTTATACTATAATATACCAACCGTGAAAGCAGAGCCTCACGATCCTTCTGACTTTTTGGGTTTTAAGCAGGAGGTGTCAGAAAAGTTACCACAGGGGTAACTGGCTTGTGGCGGCCAAGCATTCATAGCGATGCCGCTTTTTGATACTTCGATGTCGGCTCTTCCTATCATTGTGAAGCAGAATTCACCAAGCGTTGGATTGTTCAGCCACTAATAGAGAACATGAGCTGGGATTAGACCGTCATGAGACAAGTTAGTTTTACTCTACTGATGATGTGTTGTTGCAATAGTAATCCTGCACAGTACCAGAGGAGCCTGGGCAGGATTACTATTGCAACAACACATCATCAGTAGAGTAAAACTAACCTGTCTCACTTTGTCAACTTTATCAAAACACATTTAGCTTGCAAAGAACTATAAGCTTTGTAATTTCCAATGACTTCTCTGCTGCAAGCCTGCTTTTCTGATACAGAATCTTCATACCTCAGTTGTGTCTTCTCTACGAACAGATAGAACTGCCGCTGCGACAGTCTCACCTCGTCATGCAACATAAACTGTGGAGATGCCGGGGATTGAACCCGGGGCCTCATACATGCAAAGCATGCGCTCTACCACTGAGCTACATCCCCTGTGAACTGCACCACCAAAGCACGCTGTAAATCAGTAGATAAATGTATGTGTGGAGGCCAGGGTTCAAATCCCACTTGTGACAACAAAGCCTTACACTACACAGACAAGCAAAGCCAACTCCACCCCAACATTTATGTTCAAGTCCTTCAGCTCTCAGGGCAGATTTGCGCTGTGAAGGATGAGACGTTACGCAATGAAAGATTGTGTGTGTTTTTTGATCTGTCGTGGCAACCTTCAATAACCACCGACCTTAACCTTCAGCAGCAGGTGGCGAAAGGCCCAGGAAGCAGAGGACAAATGTACCTCCGGACAGTTGCACGGAGCAACAGAGAGAGAGGGAGCTCCATATTTAAGTGTTAAGATAAGACTGTTTAGCCAGGGAGGGAACGCGCCCGGGGTTTATCTGTTAGATCGAATTTTGTGCTTTCAGTTCAGCAAACTACCTGACATTACAAAGTCGACATTCATTACATGAACAGGACAGAAGTTAAGTGTTGTCGTGGCCAAGTGGTTAAGGCGATGGACTACAAATCTATTGAGGTCTCCCCGCGCAGGTTCGAATCCTGCCGACAACATGGAACTGTTTTCAACACAAGCAGCACATGACAGGTGGCCTGCAAAGAGCTGCATGGAGCAACACAGGAGTTGTCAAGTCATGAGTGGACTAGAGATTTACTAGAAAGTCCCACACGCAGGTTCGAGTCCTGCTGACAATGTTCAACAGTTTTCCCCCGTGGAGGTAAAAAGTCCAAGTAGTTTGTCTGTGAGGTGAAAGAGGAAGTGTGATTTAAAACTGAACAAGTGAGAAAATCTCCATCAGTTTGGTTCTTCAAAACACAAAGCTCATCCTTTAGACTTATGCTGCTTAATGCTGCTTGTCAAAAACAAAATACTGTCTAGTTATAGATACCGCTGCAGGATAAAAAATTTGCAATAGCTGAAATATCACAGCATCTTGAACACTTGTGAAAGCAGGCTGCAACAGTACACACAAGTACACAGGAAAGGAAATGCGATGGCCGGGAATCGAACCCGGGTCAACTGCTTGGAAGGCAGCTACAAAGAATTTTCTGTATAAAAGAAAGTCACTGGAGGCAACTGCAGTTTGTTATTTGG